CTTCTGTATTAATTACTTGCACTTTGAATTGAGTTCCTAGCCCCTGACTGAGTTTTAAGCAAATCTTTACAAGATTTGTGCCTTGTAACATGAACAGTTATTTCATAATCAATCCATAAGCAGTGATAACAATTTTGTCTCATTTTATTTCACAGGATTCCATTGAGCAAGCGTGTGCTGACGGTTTTGGTGACGAACACTTCCGCTTAGAAGGTGAGTTCTGTTCTGTTCTTCTTCATTTTAATTATTGGTATTTATCACCCTGCATTTATTTTAAGTGAGACAGTCACTGTAGTTGTTTTTCCGTCTTGGATTTTTTAATTGTTGTCTGCAAACATTAGTTATTCACCTCTCAAGTGTATCTCAATTCATATTTTAACTATGTATGAAATATGCAAAATACATATGTATACAACATTTAATATTCTACTATCTACAACCTAATATAAATAAACACATTTTGAGGTTTTTCTACTGTGTTTTAGTGTTGTGTAACATAATATATAACAGTATGTCACAAATGTGAGGTGTTTTGTCAGAGCACCAAAAAGTGTTACAAAAGAATAGGTTCATGTTTTAGTTCACCCCGGCAGATTTATCAGTTGATGTTAAAAACAGACACATCGACCTCCAGGATTGTGGGAAACATTTGTGGGAAACCCTGGTACGCTGGTTTGCCAGCCTGATTCAACTTGTGTTTGTGGGCCGGTGTGTGTGTATGAGCTGAAAAGGCAGTAATGTTTGAGTTGGTGGTGTGCTGGGGCATTGAAGGTGCGAGGGTGGTGGTAGATTACTGCTGCTCGTCCTGCTATTTCATTAGCTGTGCGATAGGCATCTCACCAACATATTAAGCCTGGTATAGAACAGATTTGCCCCCTGCACACATTGTTCCCTTTGAGCAATGTGATGATCAAGCAGCGGGACCCTCAAATGCCAGTCCTCTCCAAAAACTCTAGGAAAGCTCCCTGGGACGATGGCTTTAATTTCTGGCATTTTCCTCTATCCAGGGATGAGACAGGTCTGCTTTGATCCGCCTTGGATCTAGAGGAAAGAAATTGTGCTGTTGTGTCTGCTCTGTTGGCGAGCCAACAAACAGTGTTTCAGATTTGACTTGGCTTAATTAATTAGTGATTCTGTTTTACAGCCAGTCTGATCCTCTTTTCAAAAGGCTTGAGAGCGCGACTTCAAAGTGTGGTGAGATGAGAGCGGAGGAGGAAGAAAGAGAGAGTGGTGTATTCTGTTTTGGTTGTGTGAATTCTTTTTTCAAAGCTCTTTAATTGGTGGAGGAAGGATGTCTACACAGCAGAAATGAGCAGAGGAGAAACATACACCTTTATGACAACTTGTGAGAAATAAGAAGGTGATGACATGGTGTTTCTGGAAAACTACAGCCCACATAGGCTCCCAATAGTCCACATGTGCACTGTCTAGATCTCAGTTATGGTACATGTTATGTGCATCTGTGATTCCATGTCTCAAATATTGGGTTTCAAAGCAGATCGTGAAACCCACAGGCCTTAGATCTATGTTAACATCCAACACTGAAGCTAAACCCTTAAGCCTGATGGTGACATTTTTGTTATTTTTATTTATAATGGGAGACCACTGCACAGAACATCACAAATCTTCCAAATAAACTGTTCTTTAAATAACTATTCACAGAATCTTTCTATCTAAGACGTTGTTTTACCTTTTTTATTATTAATTAAAGTAAAATAATAATTATTATTAAAGTGAAACAGAACATCGTTATGATGTATTTATTACCAAAGTATTACTCAGCAGTAAAGATTAGATTAGTAACTAGTCTGGAAGCTTTAAAATGCCATGTGTCAATTTATTTTACCATTAACAACCAGTTTATTTTTATCTTTATTTTGAATGTATGGACAAACTTAATTCCTTCCACAGAGCTCAAAAACAGGGTGTTAGTAACAAGCAACAAAGGACAACAGGGACATATCCTGAGGTCAAAACAGTATCTAACCCTCCCCTCCTAAGGCTTTCCCTTTCATCTGTGTGTGTCCCTGCAGTGGCTCTGCCCCCAGAGAAGACGGGCAGCTGTTGTGTGCAGGAGAAAATACAGGAGAAGGCTGGACAGTCTCCCACAGGACTACAGAAGCAGCTCCAAATTGAAGTAAGTGTCAAACTGGACATGGTGTTAAATCATAGTATGCATTGAATCTGTCAAAACAGCGATATTTATTAAGGCTAATACAGCTGTTGGTTTCAGAATGTAATTTTCGGATCTGATTGTACTTATCTTTGGGGGATATTTGATCACACTTGAATTGTTTTCCAACAAATTTTGCCAAATGTTACTGTTTTGTTAGTTAATTTGTACTACAATAAAGAACTTCACTGCTCAACATTTGTACTACAATACACTACAATAAAGAACTTCACTGCTCAACAGTCTGCTGTCTGATTTTCATCTTCATTCTGAGGGAAATAGAAGCTAGAAACAACTTGTTTCTCTTCTGGATGAGGCCAGTTCAATGGCACCATACACAGAAAACACACACACACACACACACTCACACTAACTCACTCACCTTTAGCTGATGACATTTCCACTCTGTGCTGTTGCAGGAGTTGGAGTGTGCGGTGTCCGTGGAGGAGGACAACAGACAAGAGTGGACTTTCACACTCTACGACTTTGACAACAATGGCAAAGTGACTCGAGAGGTAATTATGAGCAAAATTAAAAACATATCACTGCTTGGTTCCTCATCAAGAACACTCAAGATCTGTAGATGTGATACTAGACACAACTTTCAGAATTTGCATTGACAAATCCTCTTCACATTTGAACTGATAATGATTTGGTTACTTCCACAGTTGACATTTTTGTTGTTATTAAGTTAAAAACTGTAAATCTCTAACCCTAGTCTTAAAAAAAAAAATTTCAGCACAGTCGTGTGTTATTTCGCTGCTTCAAGAAGCAATGTGTCTGCCTGCTACGGGTCTGAGACAACACCTTTAAAAGGTGTTTTGAAGGAAAAACTTGAAACAGTAAAACAGACTGGAGCTGTCCTCTGTGTAGTTTGCTGCACATCGTTCTTGGCATCGCCTGTGGCTCTGAAGCTCATGAGAAGACAAGCTACAGTTTGGAGGTGGAAAGAAAACTAAAGTCTTTGTTTGTTTCACTAATTCTCACAAATAAAAGATGTTTTACAAAAAGAAATAAAAAAACAGATGAAGGTGGAACTGATTCCTAAAGACCATATTGGAGGCTAATCTTAGCTGTTTTTTTTTTTTTTCATTTCAGCCCTGGAAAGAACCTGCCTTAAGAAAGACATTAATAAGATGTGAGACACTGTGTAAATTAATTTAATACAGTTCTCTTTATGAACACTGAATCTCAATAGAATAGCCCCTAACTCTAAATAATAATAAGAAAAGAAAAAAAACCCATTGAAAATCACTCCACAATATCATATATTGCATTCACTCCAGAAAACCAGAACATTTTAAATGTAGTTGTTTTCAATATTGTTTTTCTGTGGCAGGCAAAGTAAAGTAGAGATCGTGTGGATTAGTTTTTTTATAGTGTGAAAAAAACACAATTTGACATTACAGAAGACTGACACAAAAAAAAGATTTATTTTGTGACAAAAACGAAAGAAAGCTAAAAAAAAAACAATCAATGGGAAACCCGGTTTTCTCCTGTGTTTATCAAACAGTTTTGTCAAACGAGCATCTACGGGGTTTGCCAGTCATCGGAACAGGGCTGTTAAGGACAGATCATTTAAAATCATAAAAATATCTTATAAAAATACATGTTTAATGATATGTTTTTTATAAGGTTGAAAAAAGAGTCTGATATGAAATATAACACTGACGGCAGTGCATTTCATGCACCAAGACATTAGTATTCGGAAACCTTTTGTAGGGTTTCAACATTTACTTTTTACGTTTTAAATAGCTGTGTTTGTAGCTTGTGTTTTCACAACAATAAAACACCAGGACTTTTGTGAAACTTTAAATCACAAATATAATCTACATTTCACTTAAATTCCTTTCATTCTTTCATTCTTTTCATTCTATTCAATGATCTTCTGCTTCGTGCCCAGTGACACCACAGCCCTTTTCTATGGATCACTCTAACACTGAGTTTATTTCTGTCCTCATTTTTTTTTAAACACCTCTAGTATTCAGGCTCTTTTGTGTAACATATATTTGAAACCCTGCTCAAGCAGAGCTCCTGGTGCAGACATCAGAAAAGTGTTGAGGAATTAGAGATAGTGTGAAGCAAACTCAGCTGTAACATGACTGACATCTCAGTCAGCCTCCTCTGCTTCTGTCAGGATGTTTCTATTTACGAATTTATAAACAGCTCTTCGCTCCGTCTGATCGCTTCACTTGGAAAGCAGAAATAAAACAACCGACACCAGTGCATTTCTCTGTTGGCTCTTGTTTCAGTCACTTCTTTAAATGCCTAGCAAGCAGAAATGTCACAATGCACGCACAGAGTTACAGAAGAGGGAGGTATACGTGTGAAGCAATGTTGAAAATGTATTCTGTATGGTTTTACTTTTGGCATTGAAATGTTGACATAACCTCTGCCACTGTTTATGTGCAGGACATCACCAGTCTGCTTCACACCATCTATGAGGTTGTGGACGCCTCAGTCAACCATTCTCCCAGCAGCAGTAAGACTCTGCGTGTCAAGCTGTCCGTGGCCCCTGATTGCAGCCAGCGGTGGAGAAGTTGTACCCAAGGTGCAGCAGGTAAAGCTTGCGTTAACACTGTGGGTGGAGGTAAAGAGAAGGGTAGGTGGAGGGGGTGTTTTTGGGGGTCCCTCTTGTGTTGCCTGCTGTCAGCTCAACCAGAGACATGTTTGTGTTCCTGCAGAAAGGCAGCAGCTTAGGCCTGTCAGAGCTTTGTTCCCGTCGCTCCATCTCTTCTGCTCAATGGGGTTCATATTTAATGACGGAAGGAGTGACAGAGCCAAGAGTGGGCCCCCCTCCCTCAAACGCCTTCAAACACTCTGAAAGAAACCCTTAAGAGATGTGCCGAGCTCTTTTGATAACCACAGCCATTTTTCGTTTTTTTTCTCCAAAGTTGTCTTTTTTCCTGCCCTCCTTTTTCAGAACTGCAGGAGAAAAAAAACATCTACGTTCATTTCAACTTCTCTGCCTGATAACTTGATAAACAAGCATTCAGTGGGAAATATCACAAAAAAGTATATATATTCCTGTGTGTTTGGATCCCATTGTTTTGGCTATAAATATCCATCAAGAGATTCAAACAGAGCTTTGAAAATATTGCCAGTTGCCTTCATGCTAATTTCAAACTGTATCAGATCCCACAGCCTTAATAATTTTTTTCTGCAGTGTTTCTTTATTTCATTCCATGCCGTATAAGAGAGGGTTGAAAATAGAATAAATGAAGAGTTGTTGTTTTTTTCTTCTTCTCTATAGATCTTCAAAGTAAAACCTCAAAACAATGCTTGCTTTCTTCTGAGCCCTATGTGACTGTCGTCGTGTGTTTGTGTCTCTGCCTGCACTGTGTAGTTCTTCTTTGATAATAGCCTCGTCTCTCACACGTATACAGACTTGTCCAACGCCAGGGAGAAAAATGACAAGTGTATAGAAGACCCTAAGAGTGTCGACAAGAAGACCCGAGCCCTTCTAAGGTAAAACACTCAACACCTGATCTTTTTTTTAACTTTATGAACCTGCATATTCAATGGCCCAGCCACAAACTCAGAGTGGCCCAGTCTGTGGTCACTAAAGAAATGCAGAGAGAAAGCGAGACAATCACAAGTTGACTGGTAATCCAACTGTACAGAATGAAACATTATTTCAAAACTGCCTGTAGCCTAGCAACATACAGTCTACAGCGCTCGCAATCATTTTGTCAATTGTGTCTGTCAGCTTATCATGCATCAAATAAGCCTTGCCAAATGAAAACCACAGCCCGTATTGCTGATTTTCTTTTTAATATAACATTTATTTGAAAAGATATATTGTAATGAGCAGCAGTGGTGTTTTTTTATTTGCAAATGAATGGGTTGACTTTTATATTACTGCCTGCTATACACTCACCTGATCTCAGCTATAACCTAGTTTGTTAAATTATTAACCACATGTTTGTATCCATGACATACGGTACCAGAAGTACGGAATTGGTTAGAATTTCATTAGTTTTTTCACCTTTATAAGTGTTTTGCCCAAACTGTTCTCTCATGTTCTTTAAAGCCAGTCAGAGTGAATTTAGAGTCACCGTTATGTCCAGATATTTGAGGTCCAAACCCTTGAATTTTTACTCACAATGTCATTTATCCAACAATCACTCTGCTTTTGCCTGATCATAAGGAGCACTTGTTTAGTTTCTCCAAACACTACCATACTGAGCCTCACTGACCTAAACTGCTAACTAATGAAAGGTGCCGCTTGTGTCCACAGGCGCCACCACAGTGACCACCACACCCAGCCGGGCTGCCAGCGCCACTGTGTGGATGAGAACCTGGAACGTAGGAACCACTATTTGGACCTGGCAGGCATCGAGAACTACACATCCCGCTTTGGAACTGGTGAGTGGATCAGGGCCAGGGGTAAAGAGGGGGACAGGGTAAATGGAACCACAGACCGTGGGCCTTTGAAGCTTCGTCCAGGGGCCCTCATTACTGCGCCACCTGTTTGGAGAAATTAGGTACAACTACCAGTCTGCTGAGCTCCTCGCCAGTGCAAACATCTGAACCTAAGAAGGAACAATACATCAAGTGTTTAAGGCTAAGACTGGACAGCCTGTTGTTCAAACACATATTTGGTTGAATGAGCAGAACCTTTGATCTGAAAAGACCAAACCTTTAGAGATGTAAAGAAATTATATGAGACTGGTCCAGGTGATAACCTGTCTTTGCCTATGGTAACTTTGTAAACGACCACCTGAAGAAAAGATCTACCAAAAATTGTCTGAGAGCTGAACACAGTTACTGGCCACTTTATTAGGTACATTCTGTAAATTCTACAAAGTTAATATCCAGGTGAAATCTTCTCACAGTTACTACATTTTCCAATGTCCATGTTTATAAAGGTTTTTAACTTCTCTGGTTATTAGCACTAGCTTAATTTTAATTTTCCCGCTGCTGTGGTCCGTCTGGTTCGTCTGCGATTCGACCTGCGTTGGCTCAAAGATGCTGTACTTCTCCAGATCTTATTTGGTTATTTTGCTGTCATGCTATAATCACCCTTAGTTTCTACAAATGCCTTTGTCTTTGTCACAGCTCCAGTCCCAGAGCCGGCAAAGGCTGAGCACCAGAACCGCTCCTCCAACCAGACTCGTTCACGCTCCCATGAACCAGAAAACGGCCACACCCATACCCACCACCGCCGGTTGCAGACTGTTGTGGACACTGTTGCTCTGGACAGCCTCCACCCTCCTCGGCCACGAGGTCTGGACTCAGGGAAACACGCACTCCGTTCCCCCAAGTCCCACAGCCGCACACCAACCGTACACAACAGTGGCAAAGTAATGAGGAGCCGAGGTGTTGCAGCACCTCCTGCTCTGCCCAGCCAGACCCCTCCTCTCCAGTCCACAGCCCCTTACCGCAAGCACAAGCAACGGTCCAAGGAGAACCAGAGCTCTCGTGCTTTGGGCCCTGTAGTTTCATCAGGACCGATGGTGGAGAAGGAACAGGTGAGGGACCTGCCCAGTGTGCTGCTTTATGAAGGAGGATTGGCTCAAGTGGTGCAGCGGCACGAGCATCACCACCACCATGAACACCATCACCACTACCACCATTTTTATCAGTCCTGAATTTTCACCTTTTGTTGGGTCATTGAGAAATCCCGCTGACTGACTAAACTGAACTGCAGATCATCAGACATTGCTGCAGGCTTTCTCTTCCAAAACGCTGCACTTGATCAATGTTGACATGGGACAAAGAAAGGATGGTCAGACACACAGACGGTGCAGTGTTGACCTGTTGTCAACAATGTTATAAAAGTCTGGTCAGATATACAAAAGCAGGAGTTTGAAGCAGGGCAGAGGTTCAGAGCGGAGGTTGAAGAGGAGCTAAAGGACATCATTATCCCACTACAGCTGTGGACCAGCACCACAATGGTTCCAGATGCCTAGTGCCAACAAGCTTTTGGTAAACTGACAGTTGAAAAGACAAAAGCTGTTGTAAAGATGATTTTATAAAGGAAAATCAGTGAGAGGGCAGCGGGGATGTTGGTGTAAGTGTGAAGAATTGATGATTGTGTGTGAGTGCATGTGTGTGAGTGTCACAACACTGGTGTTTGTTAAAAACCACTTAGAGTGTGCTCCCAGGAGCGTGAGTATTTAAAACAGTTTGAAGGAGGAAAAATGAAGATTCTGTTCTAAACTAACATTATATCATTAATGGGAAGGAAACATATGAAGTGTTTTGAGTTAGAAAAACAAAACAAACAAAAAAAATCCAAAATCCGCTGCTACCTCTAATCTTATTCTAATTGTTATGATAGTGTCTTGACTCAGCATCCAGAGGTTATTTTTAAAAACGTTTGGGAAGTTTTTTTTTTTTTAAAGATATTTTGTCTTGTGTCTTGGTCGAAAGAACTGAAGTATCCAGAAGCTCCTTAATTTTAGTAACTTTAACTGTACATAAGGTATATATTGGTATCAATTTTACAAGCTTTATTCATAATGTGACATTTTTTAATTGACTCTCTGAAACTCTACTTTCCTTTCCTACAAAAATGCATTTTTATGACCACTCGTTGTTTCACTCTGTCTACAACACTTCAAACTCCGTCACCTCTCAGTTTTTTAAGCTTTTCATTCTGTGTCTGCAATCTGATGGCGTTTATTTCTGCAGCGACAAAACTACACTCCTGGCTCTCAACAGTGTTTTTCACCACTCTTGGTGAAAATACATGAACTTAAGGACTTGCTCAAAGGTACATGGTTATACCTTTACAAATGTTTACAGAGCTTTCAGGCCTTTTACCCCTGATATCAAAGATACACATCTTGTAAAGCTGTGCAGGTCTTGGTCTTTGTGCCAAACGGTGTGTTTAAATTTAGTACCACAAACCATAGCAGCTTAATCACATGTACACAATGCTAGGAACACAGAATTACAGCAGTCATGCAAAATATTTGCCATGATGTAGGTAAGCTATGATTTTGTTATTGTTTTGTATTTACACACAGTCAGTCAAAAGCTATATTTTTATTTTTTTTTAATTTTTGATCCAACTTTTTTCTTCAGAAAGTGTGTGTGTTTGTTATTCTCTTCCAGCATGGCATTTCCTCACCAACCCACAGGGGGGCGGGATTGCAGCTCTGATCATTTTTTTATTCTGCAGTAGACCACTTCACATTTTTTGGAAATGGCATTATGAAAAAAAAAGTTTCCAAACAAAAGGGGGAAAATCCATTTTTCATATTTTAATTTTAAAGTTGCCATTTTATGTTTTTGTTTCAGACATTTCAAGTCTTTAATAGAAGACTTTGACCTTGTCATGCAACACTTATTTTTCAGTATACCAGATTTTTTCAAATGTACATTTCCAATCAATCTGCCTCAATGTTGTCATGTACCACAGTTTCCCTTTTTGGATTTTGGAATTGTGACATTAAAGCCAACATTTTCCCAGTAGCTCTTTTGTGCAGCTCCTGACCTGGGGTCAAACATCTCCCCCCTGTGTTTCCGTGGCATCTTCCTGTCCCGCAGCTGTCAGCAGGTCTTTGTTCATGGTGCAGCAATGATAGGATCCTTTCAGCTGTCTCATTCTTTTGGTGCCGGATAACACAGAGCCCGGCCCGCAGTCTCCAACAGCCCCATAACTCACTACTGTCTCCTCTGTCCTGCCCACAGGGTCTGTGTGCTTGTCTTCCACCACACTCTTCTGCTGGTGCTACTATAAACACACAGTTGTTGATGGCAGCAGAATTGCAGTATGTTCTTCTTTCACTTCAATCGGGCTTGTCTCTTCTCTAGAGTAATGAGTGAAAGTGTCCTAAATATCACACATTTTAACTAGAAAGTGTTCGTCATTATCACAGGGATGTTTACCTATGGATTTCTCAGCTGTGCTCCATTACTTCTCCTACTTTAAACACTAAATATATCTGGTTGTGTGAAAATGTTTTTTTAAAAAAGAGGAAAAAGTTATAAAATTACTACAATTTACTTTTGTTTTCCACTACAAAACTAAACTAAAACACACAGATTTATGGAGTATAAAAATAAAAATGTAACTAAATTTAAAACATCCATTATTTTCTCCTTCCCTTAATCGTGTGGTGGCCTAACCTTTTCTACATAAGTCCACTGTCCCAACACACGGAGGCATTCACAGCTACAAATCTACACTCTATTTAAAACAATAGACAGACTTACAACTGCTGTTCCCAAATAAAACAAAATGAATACAATTACAATTCAGTTCAAGTTCCCCCACTGTGGTAAAAACAGAGATAAAATATTTAAATTGGAATTCAATGGCCTTGCTGAGCACCTTTCCCCTTCAAAAGCTCCACGCCCCCCACTTTGTACTTTACTGCCTTAATCTTTTTAGTTAACTGTTTTATTGTGGTGTTACATCTCTCTCTCTCTCTCTGTCTGTCTCTCTCTCTCTCTCTCTCTCTCTCTCTGTGTGTGTGTGTGTGTGTGTGTGTGTGTGTGTGTGTGTGTGTGTGTGTGTGTGTGTGTGTGTGTGTGTGTGTGTGTGTGTGTGTTGAGAAACCTGAGGTTTCATTTGAATCTGGTGTTTGTGTCCTCAATTCTTTTTTAAAAAAATGTACCAGAACTTATTTGTTTGTCTATTAGTATTTACGCCTGCCGTTTTAAAGTAAATCTTTTTAAATTTGGAAGACGAGTCTTTCGACTGCTTTAGATTCTCCACCTTTGTCCTGTTGTAAAGGATATTCAGTCTTCAGTGCCAAGTTTGGGTGTAACATTAGTAACTATTGCTAATATCTAACTTGTTTGTAACAAATCTGATGTACAGTATATATGTAATGGACAGACGTTGAACCAGCATTATGTAGAAGAAGAGCCCTATGTACAATGATTAACTATTAAGCTATCTCACTTGCCTATGCTGTTGGTTTGTTAATCCCGCTACAGTAATCTGCCACGCCAATCTGACTCGGCGGAGACGAACTGTCTTCTGTCTGCGTCTGAAGCTGCTTCTGTGTCTCCACAAACAGACCCACTTTTTCTTGGTGTTTGTTGATGAAAGAACATTGTTTAGCACTAGCCGTTCTTCCCTTCCCTCTCCTTCCTAATGGTTTTATGACATGATTAGATTGTATTTGTTTAATTGCTTTATTTATTTGCTAGCAAATCTGTGCCGGGGGAGCGGGGTGGGCATTTATTAAAATATGAACCTATTAATCTGGCTTCTGTGCTTGTCGGTTATTGTCAAAGATTTGAACGTGAAACCATCTTCAGTGCCAAAAGTGGCTGACTGCAGCTTCTACACACGCACACAGATTAACAGCTTATCTGTGTTCGGACCGTCCACAGTGAAACCTCGGCTCAGTAACATGATAGGCTTCCCTTTAAGGAACATGTCTATTTGTGTGAAGGAGGCGGTGCAGCCGTCATACCAACATTACGTCTAATCATAACGCAGCTTACCAGGTTATTATGACTGCTTCACACTACAAACAAATTAGTCATTTGAGTCTCCTTGGTAATTCTTTGTTACTGAACATCGTGTGCCAACCTATCCGGTTTGAGACACACACCCTATGAGCCCTAACTATTATATCATTATATTGTATTAAATGTCATGTAGTAGTTGCACAACTTTCCAACTAGAATGTAAGGTTTAAAGATGTGACCTTTGACCCTATGTCTGCTACTGTCATGAGAAAAGCTGCAGCATTAGAAGATCTTGGTCAGAGAGAACATTCTCCATGCATGTGTGAGGTGTTTCCTGCTAGATGTTTTTTGAGCAGCAAGGAGACAGTTTATAGCAAACAGTCTGTCAAAAAAAACGATATTGACATAAATATGTGGAAATGACAGGCTGCCATAATGTCTTCCGTGGGCTTTGTTTCCAGCCGATAGACAGTGAGCTTTGAAGTGTGGGCTGGCCCAGCAGGGTGCGAGCTCCTGTAAAGGCAGGATGCTAAACGCTGAGCGATGAGAAGGACATGAGGTAGTCTATTACCAACGCAGAAGCAGAGAGAGGGAAATGGCAAATCCGATGATAATGTACATCTGTTCCAGTGAATTTATGAGCTTTGAACATTTTTCATGTGTGATAAGTGGATCCTTTTTCTTACACAATCTCAGAACTTCAAAGCAGATTGGCTTTGGATAATGCAAATGATCAGAATATGCTGGTCCCTGCCTACTCAAGAGCATAAAAAGCAAGAGGGAGAAGGAGAATTAGAGCTAATTGGCATGGCAGCCTTTTATGTGGGGGGAAGAAGGGCAGAAATAAAACACTTCAATTATTGTCAAGTTCATTCATTTAGGAAACAGCCGTACGATGTTCAGTATCTCTGCTCCTGGAGCCATTTCCAGCCATGTTCCATCCACTCTCTACTGTCAGCCTCACTTCTTTTGTTAAACTTGATTTAATTACAGTTAGCTAAATTTATTTTCTGCAGTCATTGTAGTGACTCTCGATGAATAGAAAGAAAGGAAGAAGATTCTGTCTTTGTCAGATCCTACTCACAAATGCGTCTTTGTAGTTTCACTATTTTTGTGCCTCTTACACTAAAAGCAGAAAGCACCACCGCCATCAGTGGCCTTCGTACATTGGCAGTAGTCGTGGGACATCAGACTTATCATAATCATATGTTTTACAATGTTTTATCTCTAATGTAAAGACTCTCCTCCTGACCCTGGCTCAGTGTATGGCTGCTAATTTATAGTAGATTATAAGTGCAAAGTAGCAACAGTCACCGATTAAACAATAAACCTAATATTTACAATTTTTAAAATATGTTTTGTATTTTGTAACATAATTGTTAGATCAAAGTAAACAAAGAACTAAAGATGGAAAATAAAAACTGTAAGTGTCGTTCCTGAGGTGAGTTATAATAGAATTACCTTGACAAAAAAAGGTCCAGGTACAATTTGAGAAGTGGAGCAGACATTGAACCCACAACCTAAAATAGCTGTGGCATAACATACATCCTCTGACAACACATTTCTATCATGTGTAATTCAACTTTTCCACATTTTAATCTCCAATCTGAACTTCTGCAGAGTGACTTCTAGAGAAGATGGAAGATGAATAAAACAAGGCTCCAGAAAGTTGCGCTGGTTTTTAGCAGATCATTGGAGCTCTTTCTTTTTGCACCATCAAAGAGAGCGGCGTCTCTTTGATGTGGCAGCATGCTGTTTAAGGTACAGAGTGAATGGAGAGATGTCAAGCTGCAAGGTGCCTCTGTAGTTTACATTGAGTGCTGCAGAGAGCTGCAGATGAAAGGCACAAACAGAGTTTGATAATGAATGTCCAACAAGTAGGACCCATCTTGGACTGTGCACTGTCAGCGGGGTGCCCCATGCCAACCTTGAGAGCAGCAGCCCGAACCTTGGGCAGACATTGGAGACCAGACTCCATCAATGCTGCCACTTCTAAAAAAAACCCAACTGTGTCAGCTTTAATCTTCCTGTCAGTTAATTTTTGATGGACACACACTCCCATGGACTCATGGTCACACATGTGAACTTTTCCTCAAACTGTTTCCTCTAAAAAAAGTTGCCTCTCACTTCTTCCTGCTACACATTCAGATCTCCTTCCAGGTAATGTCCCAGTTATTTAGATGCAATCTACATTGGTTAGAATGGCTATGTATTTGTTAGAGCTCTGTAATATATATATATATATATATATATATATATATTAGTTGAGTGTTATAGAATGTGGCAGGGTTTTTTTCATCTAGGCCAGATGACCTCAGAACATCATTTGAATTTACATTTTTACAATATTTAATAAAATATTAGTTAACTGGCCTGTGGACCAGTAAGGGGGTGGTGAGCACTCTTGCCTTACAGTAAGTGATCACCAGTCTGGAGACATCTGTTAGTCTGGAGTCGTCATTTTTTTCTTTATTTTTGCATGAATTTATTGAGTAATTCCTATTTCCTTTCATTGTCCAAAAACATATAGAATGAGGTTGTGGACACTGTGGGCACGTGGACAAGAGACCAAAGGTTTAAATATGAGTATGGATAGTTATCTGCTGTTATATCTGGCCCTGTGATGGACTGGAGAACCGTCCAGAATGTTCATTGTCTATGTCCATGACTGCTGTGATTGGCTCCTCAGCCCCCCC